TGGTGGGAGTTTCTAGCTACCTAGAGTCCGTTGCTAGGGTGGTTGCCAAGGGGGTAGAGTTGAGTGGTCCAAGGTCCTCTTAGAAATTCCTTTCCTGGCCTTTGTTCCTATTCCCTCGGGGGGTCCAGCCTGCTCTGGGCCTCCTAATGTGGGTTAATTTTGACCAGACCTTGGGTCCCGTGCCCTCAGGTGGTCTTTTGGTGGCCATGAAGCTTTTGTTGACTTCCTCGGAGTTCCATTGCCATGGTAACGCTTCCCCCATCCACATGTCTGCCTCAGTTCTGTGGGTTAAGAAATGGAGTTAATACTGGCTTGTGGTTATCAAACTTGGACAGCGTCACAGGGAACGAAAGAAACGCCAAAACCTCCTTCGCTCCCCTTTGGCGCAATTTTTTTTTTCTTTCTGGGTCACACCTGGTGATGCACAGGATTTACTCCTGGGTCTGCACTCGGGAATCAGTCCTGGCAGTGCTCAGGGGACCATATGGGATGCTGGGAATCGAACCTGGGTCGGCGTGTGCAAGGCAAATGCCCTACCCACTGTGCTATCGCTCTCCAGCCCCCCTTTGGCGCAGTCTTGCTGGGCCCTTTTCCCTGGCAGTTCTCAGCCCATAGAAAAAAGTGTGTGTGTTGCTTGCCTTAGCTTCTGTGTGTAACCACGGGCCTCTCTCACACACACATACGCACACACGCACACACATGTCCAGTGATCACTGCTGAGTCGCCTCCCGGCTAGTCAGTGTCTGGACGGGGAGGTGGTCAGTGACACTCGCAGTGCTCAGGGACGATTTCTGGCTCCTGAATGTGTTTGGGGGTGGGTGTGATGCCAGGGAGGGCGTGAGAGTCAGCTGCCCGCAGGGCAAGTACCTGTCCCCTCTGCCCTCTGGCCCCGAATCTGCAATTGTTTGCTTGTCTGTTTGGGATTGAGTTTTTGCGCAGGAATGACACTTGGTGGGCTCAGGGGGCTGTGTGGGAGGCTAGGGGTCGCACTCGGGGTGGCGAGTGTCAGACTGGCAGCTCTCTGGGCTCCGGAAGCTGCTGTGGTCGCTCCCCTGAGACAGACTCTCTCCTCTGCTCTTCAGAGATTTATCCCTGAGAACGAGTGCGCCTCAGAAGGCCCCACAGTGGGCTCGATGGTCAGGGCCCGGTAGTGGCCGCGGCAGCGTCTGACCACCTGACCATGAGTCTGCTGAAGCCCAGCGGGCTGAAGGCCCCCACCAAGATCCTCAAGCATGGGAGCTGGGCCCTGAAGGCGCCCTCGGCCGGTAAGTGCGCTCAGCCCGGGCCAGGGGAGACTCATTCCCACCCGGGAACCCCCTCCCGAGTCCTCGCCCGGAAAGGGCTCCCTGAGCTGTAGGCACGTTCATGGCTCTGGGGACAGCTCTCACACACAAGTGTCACATTCTGTGACTTTAGTGTCACGGCAACTGGTGTCAGCTGAGGCGACCAACACGCTCCCTCCTAACTGCTAGCCCCCTCGCCCGGGCTTGGGGACAGGCTGAGGGAGGTGGACTCACCTGGATTAAAGGGCCTCATTGCCGGCCGTAGCCACAGGACAGTGGGGAGGGCAACCGGGACCCCATGGGACTCTCCAGCCTCAACCTCACATGAGTGACCCTGAGCGCAGAGCCAGAAATAGGCCCTGCGGACTGGCTGGGGTGCTCCCCCGCTAAAAGAAAAAGAAGATGGGCCAGTGGACACAGCAGAAATAAGACACTGGGTTGGAGCTTTCGCCTGGCTTGGTCCCTAGCATCACGGGGTGTGTCCAAAGATTTCCCCTCAGCTGCCCAAATATGACTGCGGCCTGGGATGCTGCAGTAGGTAGGCACATACCCTTCACAGCGGGCCTGGCCAGGCTTCGCCACAAGCAGCCCCCAGCATTGGCTGGGAGAAGCCCCAAGCACTGCTGGGTGTCCCTCCCCCCACCACCACACTTTAACTGGACCTGGACAGGCCCTTCCTGACCATTCTGACCCTTCTGACCCTTTCTGCTGTTCCAGCTGCTGCTCCCGTTGAGGAGTCCGTGCCTGGGGAGAAAACCCCCAGCGCCCCCTCCTCGGACACGCAGGAGGAGTTTGTGGACGACTTCCAGGTCGGGGAACGAGTCTGGGTGAAGGGGAACACGCCTGGATTCATCCAGTTCCTCGGGGAGACCCAGTTTGCCCCTGGTCAGTGGGCCGGGATCGTGTTGGACGAGCCCATCGGCAAGAACGACGGCTCGGTGGCGGGTGTGCGCTACTTCCAGTGCGAGCCGCTGAAGGGCATCTTCACCCAGCCGTCCAAGCTGAGCAGGAGCTTGCAGGCCGACGATGAGACCATCGGCCTGCAGCCAGCGCCTGCTGCCCGGGTCACACCGCCCCTGTCGGCCTCCCCGGCCCCTGCCGCCGCCCCGAAGGCGCCCCAGCCCTCCACAAAGGAGGCACCGGCCACCACTCACATCAGCAACCTGACCAGGACGGCCAGCGAGTCCATCTCCAACCTCTCGGAGGCTGGCTCCCTCAAGAACGGGGAGCAGGAGCTGAAGCTCGGGGACCGGGTGCTGGTGAGTGCCGATGGCAGCGGTCGCGGGTGGGTGTCCATTCACCTGTCTGGTCCATCAGGTTTTGCAGACTCGCGGTTTGGGTGGAAGGACGAGCAGCCGGGACGCCTGGTCCTGCAGTTTCCAGCTTGATGGATGCGTGCGGGGATGCTGCCAGTTTTACCAGTTTAGCCAAAACAGGATGGAGGGGTCATGCCGTGGGGAGGCCGCGTGCTTTGCACGCCTCTGACCCGGGGTTTAAGTCTTGGTCCCATGTACAGTCTCCCATGCACATCCCGTAGTGATCCCTGAGCACCAAGCCAGAAGTAAGCCCTGAGCACTCTGACTGTGACTCAGAAAACAAACCAACGAACAAATTTGGAAATCGGTTCCATTTCTCTGGTTTGTGATGTTTGTGTTTGGGGCATCACAGGGCTCACCCCGAGCCGCTCGGGCCATTCCGTGCCCGGCTGTGCGCAAGCCCTGAGCCGTCTCTCCAAACGTGTGTGGTTTGGTGTTTGGGCCACACCTGGCCGTGCTCAGGGCTTCCTCCTGGTGGTGAACTCAGGGATCACTCTTGGTAGGGTTCAGTGGACCATCTGGGGTGTCGGGGATGGACCCTGAGTAGGCCACGGGTCGGGTCCCGTCTCCCGAACATTCTCAAGAGTATGTTTTGCTGTCTTGGTTGCTCGATCTTCAGACACAGCACCTGCTCTTGTGTTTCTCTGAGCAGCTACTGGAAGGTGGGGGCGAGGGGGCACCCCCATGAGATGAGTTTCTGGTGGGGGTCACCAGGTCCCTGCACATGGCATCCTCAGTCCACCCCAAGCCCATTCCTCTGCACAGGTTCCCAAAGCAGAGGCGCTTGGCTGTATACAACTGTTCTCCCCCAGCAGAAGCACTCAATAACTCTTTCAGAACCCGTGGGAAGCGGCCAGGAAAAGTCCCCTTGGGGATGTCTGAGGCGGGCGGCTCTGGACAGACTGGGGGATGGCCCGGAGCCAGTGGCTTCCCGGGGACCACAGGGATGGCCACCGCCAGGCCAGTGTCCGAGCTGTGGAGGCCGGAGAGGAGAGCAGTGAGGTGACCCGCCTGCAGGCACAGGGTGGCCCTCGGAGAGTCCCGGAGGGTCACGGTCGGGGTTCGGGGATGGCCAAAGAATAACACGGGGAGGGAATTGGAGCTGGAGGAGACTCACGGTTTAAAGACTGGGGGGCTGGGGCAGTAGTACAGCAGAGAGGGCGTTTGCCTTTAACTCAGCAAACCTGGGTTCCCCGGTATCCCATAGGGTCCCCCAAGCATCGCAGGAATGATTCCTGAGTGTAGAGCCAGGAGTCACCCCTGAGCATCGCCAGGTGTGAGCCAAAGACCCAAAGAAGAAAAAAGACTTTTTTTTTTTAACTTGCTTTCACAACCGTCCACACCCGGACACAGGGACACCATGTCGTTGGAACAAGGGAGCGGGGACACCGCCACTGGCTCTGTGGTGAATAACTCTGATCAGTTATTCATTTATTGGTGGTCGTGCTGAGGGCTGAGTCCTGGCCCTGTGCTCAGGGACCACATCTGGGCAGGTGTGTGCAAGGCCAACGCCCTGCCCACTGTGCTGTTCCATCGCTCCATACCTCAGCTAGAGCACGCCTTTCAAAAAAAAGTTTTTGAGGGTTTTTTGGGGGAACCACAACCAGCATAATGGCTGTTTTCTGAAAGAAGAAGGGGGAAAAAAGAAAACCCAAACACTTTCTTTGGTCTTTTTCCTAATTCAAGGAAGGTTTGCTTGGCGCTCCATGGCCTAACGCAGCCGTGGTCAGGAGGCCGTGGCGAGTGGGGGCTGGCCTTGGGGCACTGAGGCGAAGCTCCTGTGCAGGGCTGGCGCCCTCCCGGCTCTCCAAAGGCCCTCCTGCCCTTTGCCCCATTCTTCCCTGCGCACAGGAAGTCTAGGTTCTGCGCCAGCTGGCCCCGATGTTTACGGGACTGACCTCCGAGGAGCCCTTCGAAGGCTCTGACATGGCTGTTCCAGGATTAGGCCTGTGGAAGACGGTCCCCTGCCCCTGGCACTCCCCATCCCTGGCAGTGGACAGGTTGCCCCCATGCTTGTGCTACTTTGGTTCTCTTTGGAGACTCAGGGACCCTCACTGGGGTCACTGGAAATGCCCAGCTCTGACCTCAAGTCCCGTCTGTGCTCGCAAGTAGGCAGGGGTCACAGAGCGGGACAGTCAGTCTCTCTGGTCAGTCTTATGGTGTCTCAGAGCGGGAGGTCACTCTGTCCGTCCTGTGGCATCTCAGAGTCCAACCGTGAAGAGCTTCTCCGGGCTGATGTGCGGTGGTTCTCCTGACCTTGGGAGATCACTTCCCTTCTCTCCAGCTGAGCTCTGACAGAATGTTCTGGAGACAGGCTTGCAGCAGTTTTGGGCAGATGATATTTCCAGGTTATGACGCCAGGGTCTTGAGAGAATTGACTGGCTTCCAGTTGTCCTGTTAGAGGAGGCTGTTTCCGGGTCGGGGACGGCATGTTTTGTGCCAAATTCTTCGCCGATGACCAGCTGTGAGACAGGAACTTTGCAGCCTCTTCTCAGCCCAGGGCCGCCACCCCAGCCCCCTGTCTCTTGTTCTTTTATTCCTTGTCACCCTCACAGTGCCCAGGGCCCACGCCTGGCCACGGAGGCTGTGCCAGGGCCTTTGCAGATGGCACTTCAGGACTCGCAGAGACAGTCCTGGGTGACGCTGCTACCCCTCATGCTGCGAGTGACCCCCTAGCACGTGAACCCAGTCCTACCCCAGACCCGAAAAAAGAAAACTGCGCTCTCGGGCATTATTAGTTGAGGTTTCTCTCTCTCTCTCTCTCTCTCTCTCTCTCTCTCTCTCTCTCTCTCTCTCTCTCTCTCTCTCCTTTCTGTTTTGACTTTTTGGTTTTGGGGTCACTCAGGCTTTGCACTCAGGAATCAGTCTTGGCGGGCTAGGGGGACCATCTTGGGTGCTGAGGATTGAACCCAGGGTGGCCGCACACAAAGCAAGTGCCCTTCTCCTGTGCTCCAGCCCTATTTGTCAGCATTCCCGTCAGTGTCCAACGCTGTGATTCTTCTTTGCTCTGCGTCCCAGGGGCCAAGCGTGAAGCCAAGGCATAGTGAAGGAGAACTGGAAAATGGAAGTCCGCTAAGATATGAGAACAGTCATTTTCCTTTAGCTGGTTTCTGGCTTAATTGTTCTCCAGCGGTGGGGTTGCCACGGCTCCGCTTCCACACCCACGGGGCAGCGACCCCCTCGCCACACCAGGTGGCTGGCCTGGGTCAGAGATTCCTGGGGGTGTGGTCAGCCAGGCCACCGGTGTCAGCGAGTGGGTGTGAACACCGCTGCCTTGCATGGACACTGAGCAGCAGCGTCTGCTCACGCTGTAGGGGTTGCGGGGGGAAGTGGCACCTTGACCTTTGGGGTTTCTTCCGGAAATCCCTACTCTGAAGCCAGAATGTTCCTTTGCGGGGGTGGGGGCGCTGTGCGCAGTCCAGGGTGCCTGACCCGCGTCCCTCCGGCAGGTGGGAGGCGTGAAGGCCGGTGTGGTGCGCTTCCTCGGGGAGATGGACTTCGCCAAGGGGGATCGGTGTGGCGTGGAGCTGGACAAGCCGCTGGGCAAGAACGATGGCGCCGTGGCCGGAACGAGGTGGGTCCTCCTGCCCCCCCCAGACAGCCTGGGGCAATGCACGGTGCCCGGGCGGCGCTGAGGGGACTGCAGGCCACTTCACTTGGTTCTTAGGCGGGGCCACTTCCGGTGGCACTTGGGGACCCTGCAGGGATGTGGGGACAGCCTGGGGCTCCCACATGCAGCTGTGCTCGGCCCGCAGGAACCCCCCGGGCCTGCTGTCGCCCTTCAGATGCCGGGGAGGCTGCTTGGAATCGCCCCTAGTTTGCACGGTGGGGGTGGGCGGCGTGCGAGGGAGTGTGTGTATGAATGTTTGAATGTTTGTGCTTCGGAGTGTGGATATGTATGTATGAGGGTGTGTGTATGTGAGCGTGTGAGTGTGGGGCTGTGAGAGTGTTGGTGAGGGCATGAGCATGTAAGTGTTGGTGGGGGTGTGAGCATGTTTGTGAGGGAATGAGAGCGTGTCATTGTTGGTTTGAGAGCGTGCAAGTGTTGGTTGGGGTGTGCGTGTGTGTGACTGGGGCTGTGGGAGTGTGGGAGTGTTGGTTGGGGTGTGAGTGTGAGTGTATTTTTGTTGGGGTGTGAGTGTGGGGCTGAGGAAATGTGGGAGTATTTGTTAGGGTGTGGATATGTATGTATGAGGGGTGTGTATATGAGTGTGTGACTGTGGGACTGTGGGAGTGTTGGTTGGGATGTGAGTGTGAGTGTGTGTTTTAGGGGGTGTGTTTGTGAGTGTGGGACATTGGGAATGTGGGAGTGTTGGTTGGGGTGTGAGTGTGTGTGAGTGTGGGACTGTGGAAATGTGGGAGTGTTTGTTGTGGTGTGTGTGTTTGTTGGGGTGGGAGAGTGAGAGTGTGGGAATGTTGGTTGGGTTGTGAATGTGTGTGCTTCTTGGGGTGAGTGTGGGAGTGTTTGTTGGGGAGTGAGTGTGAGTGACTGGGGCTGTGGACATGTGGGAGTGTTTTTTGGGGTGTGAGTGTGTGTTTTTTGGGGTGGGAGTGTGAGAGTTTGGGAGTGTTGGTTGGGGGCTGAGTGTGTACTTGTTGGGGTGTGAGTGTGTGAAAGTGTTGGTTGGGGTGTAAGTGTGAGTGTGTGTTGGTTGGGGTGTGAGTGGGAGTTTTGGTTGGGGGTGTGAGTGTGTGTGTTTGTTGGGTGAGAGTGTTTGTGAGTGTGGTGCTGTGGGAGGGTATGATGTTTGTTGGGGAGTGAGTATGTGTGAGTGTGGGGCTGTAGAAATGTGGGAGTCTTTGTTGTGGTGTGTGTGTTTGTTGGGGTGGGAGTGTGAGAGTGTGGGAATGTTGGTTGGGTTGTGAGTGTGTGTGTTTCTTGGGGTGAGTGTGGGAGTGTTTGTTGGGATGTGAGTATGTGTTTGTTGGGGTGTGAGTGTGTGTTGGGGTGTGAGTGTGTGGGAGTGTTGGTTGGGGTATGAGTGTGAGTTTGTGTTGGTTGGGGTGTGAGTGTGTGTTTGTTGGGTGAGAGTGTGTGTGGGGGGGCTGTGTGAGGGTATGATGTTTGTTGGGGAGTGAGTGTGTTTGAGTGTGGGGCTGTGGAAATGTGGGAGTGTTGGTTGGGGTGTGAGTGTGTTTGTTGGGGTGAGTGGGAGTGTGAGAGTATGGGACTGTTGGTTGGGGTGTGAGAGTGTGGGAGTGTTTGTTGGGGTGTGAGTGTGTGGGAGTGTGGGGCTGTGGGAGCGTGTTAGTCTGTGGGCGTGTGAGACTGTGGGACTCAGTGGACGCCTCGGTCGGCGCCTGTCTCTCTTGCCAAAGGGGTCTTTTGTCCCCCCCTCCTCGTTGTCGCAGGTACTTCCAGTGTCAGCCCAAGTACGGCTTGTTTGCTCCCATTCACAAAGTCACCAAGATCGGCTTCCCCTCCACGACGCCGGCCAAGGCCAAGGCGGCCCCCGCGAGGCGTGTGATGGCCACCACCCCCGCCAGCCTGAAGCGCCGCCCGTCGGCCTCCTCGCTCAGCTCTGTGAGCTCCGTGGCCTCATCCGTGAGCAGCAGGCTCAGCCGCGTGGGACTAGTAAGAAGCTCCCCCCACCCCGCGCGGTGCTCGGGCCCCCACAGACTCCCACGGCCCCAGGGGCGAGAGGCGGAGCAGGACTGGGTGGGCTGAGCAGCTCCGGGGGGGCAGGCGAGTGGCTTCCCAGCCACCACCGGTGACAGGAGCAGGGATGGGCCTTTCCTTGGGTGCTCAGGGCTCAGGCCGCCTTAGGGCTGAAGTGGGGGAGCTGAAGGGGGCGTCGGAGGGTCAGAGCGGGAACCAGAGACTCTGGGGAACGCTTGGCGCTTGGCGTTGCTTGTTTGCTCTCTCCGTCCCTCCCTGCTCCCTCCTGTCCCTCTGCACCCCTGTCGACATGCAGAGGGGCCTCGACTTCTGTCCATTGCGGGGCCGCAAGTCAAAGCTGGGGCCTCATGGCTTCTCCCCTCACGTCTCTCTGAGTCCTAAACACTAAAGTGTGTCCGAATATGCAAGGGTGTCCTGAGATATTGTCCACAGGGAAACGGGCCCACGATGGAGATGTGTCCCAGGGGGCTGGCTTTGCTGGGGCTGCGCTTCCTGCCGCCCCCTCTGCTCCGTGCCTTGACCCTCGATGCGGAAGAGGAGGGAGTGAGTGTGTGTGCAACGGAAGATACAAAACAGATGACGCGGGAATGGGAGCCAGGAGGCCACGCGCCGTGGGCACAGGCCTGAGGCCAGTCCTGTCTTGCTTGACCACCTCCAGGTTTCCCTGCCCTGCCTCCATCCTCACATCCGACTCCTCCTTCCCCTAGACTCGCCATTCAGGAGGGGAGCAGACTCAGAAGCCCCTCTCCTTCCCTCGCGAGCCAGCCCATTTGTGGAATTTGGTTTTGTTTTTCTGCTTGACTGTGGACCACACCCTGCAGTGCTTCAAGGGGCCGTTTGCAGTGCTGGGGTTGAGCCGGGGCCTCCCACATCCGAGCAAGAGCCCCACGCCTGAGCCGTATCTCCAGCCTCCCCCTCACTGTCTTGTTTTGTTCTGTTCTGGGGTCACACCTGGCAGAGCCCAGGGCTTTCTCTCGTTTCTGTGCTCGGGATTATTCCTGGCGGCCTCCGGGATTGAGCCTGGGCAGCGCTGGGGCTTCGCTCTCCAGCCCTTTGGCCCCTGCCTTGCATATCTTTACGCAGGGTGGAGCTCACCCCTACACTGCACATCACCGTTAGCACATATGACAGGAATATAGAATGAGTCTGTGTGGCTTCATGGAAGTATACCTCCACAACGTAATTCCATACGTGCACACACAAGCGTTCACTCACACACAGCGACTCATACATGTACACGTAGTGCATACCGTATATACACAGGCTTATGGGTGTATACACACAGGCACGCACCTGCATAGACACAATGCGCGTGTGCACACAGGTGTGTGTAGACATGCCCAGAGGAACGTACGTGCATGCATACATACATGCACACAGGTCCGGGCATGCCCTGTGGGAGCCTCCCGGTTCGCTTGTTGGCTGAGTTGCTCTCTGAGGTACCAGGCTCCCACAGAGGGTCTGGCCTTGCTGGCATGGAGCCTGGGGCCTCACACACCACGCACAGGGCAGAGGCTTTGGCATCAACATCCTGAGTTCAGTTCGTGGCCCCCACCTTGCCCAGCCCCTCAGCGCCCGCCTCCCCCCATGCCAGGGGTGCTGATTTCTCTCTGCTCCGGCGCCTGAACTCACAGTCTCATTCGTCTCCACGGTTGGCTGAAAGAAGCCGTTCGCTCCCAGGCTGGTTTCCTCAGGGAGCTGTCTCGGGCCCAGGAAGCGCATGCGTGCCCCACTGCTCAGGCCAGGAGGCTCAGGGAACACCGCCGCCCGCCTTTCCTAGTTTTTATTTTTGCTCTTTGGTTTTGGGGCTCACCTAGCAGTGCTCAGGGACTCCAGGCGTGGTGCTTG